TAAATTGACAAAGGAATGACGTCAAAACAAACTATTCCGATTTCCTTAGATTTAAGAAAATAAACTCGTTTCATTGTCGAAGAAGTAATAAATTGACAAAGGAATGACGTCAAAACAAACTATTCCGATTTCCTTAGATTTAAGAAAATAAACTCGTTTCATTGTCGAAGAAGTAATAAATTGACAAAGGAATGACGTCAAAACAAACTATTCCGATTTCCTTAGATTTAAGAAAATAAACTCGTTTCATTGTCGAAGAAGTAATAAATTGACAAAGGAATGACGTCAAAACAAACTATTCCGATTTCCTTAGATTTAAGAAAATAAACTCGTTTCATTGTCGAAGAAGTAATAAATTGACAAAGGAATGACGTCAAAACAAACTATTCCGATTTCCTTAGATTTAAGAAAATAAACTCGTTTCATTGTCGAAGAAGTAATAAATTGACAAAGGAATGACGTCAAAACAAACTATTCCGATTTCCTTAGATTTAAGAAAATAAACTCGTTTCATTGTCGAAGAAGTAATAAATTGACAAAGGAATGACGTCAAAACAAACTATTCCGATTTCCTTAGATTTAAGAAAATAAACTCGTTTCATTGTCGAAGAAGTAATAAATTGACAAAGGAATGACGTCAAAACAAACTATTCCGATTTCCTTAGATTTAAGAAAATAAACTCGTTTCATTGTCGAAGAAGTAATAAATTGACAAAGGAATGACGTCAAAACAAACTATTCCGATTTCCTTAGATTTAAGAAAATAAACTCGTTTCATTGTCGAAGAAGTAATAAATTGACAAAGGAATGACGTCAAAACAAACTATTCCGATTTCCTTAGATTTAAGAAAATAAACTCGTTTCATTGTCGAAGAAGTAATAAATTGACAAAGGAATGACGTCAAAACAAACTATTCCGATTTCCTTAGATTTAAGAAAATAAACTCGTTTCATTGTCGAAGAAGTAATAAATTGACAAAGGAATGACGTCAAAACAAACTATTCCGATTTCCTTAGATTTAAGAAAATAAACTCGTTTCATTGTCGAAGAAGTAATAAATTGACAAAGGAATGACGTCAAAACAAACTATTCCGATTTCCTTAGATTTAAGAAAATAAACTCGTTTCATTGTCGAAGAAGTAATAAATTGACAAAGGAATGACGTCAAAACAAACTATTCCGATTTCCTTAGATTTAAGAAAATAAACTCGTTTCATTGTCGAAGAAGTAATAAATTGACAAAGGAATGACGTCAAAACAAACTATTCCGATTTCCTTAGATTTAAGAAAATAAACTCGTTTCATTGTCGAAGAAGTAATAAATTGACAAAGGAATGACGTCAAAACAAACTATTCCGATTTCCTTAGATTTAAGAAAATAAACTCGTTTCATTGTCGAAGAAGTAATAAATTGACAAAGGAATGACGTCAAAACAAACTATTCCGATTTCCTTAGATTTAAGAAAATAAACTCGTTTCATTGTCGAAGAAGTAATAAATTGACAAAGGAATGACGTCAAAACAAACTATTCCGATTTCCTTAGATTTAAGAAAATAAACTCGTTTCATTGTCGAAGAAGTAATAAATTGACAAAGGAATGACGTCAAAACAAACTATTCCGATTTCCTTAGATTTAAGAAAATAAACTCGTTTCATTGTCGAAGAAGTAATAAATTGACAAAGGAATGACGTCAAAACAAACTATTCCGATTTCCTTAGATTTAAGAAAATAAACTCGTTTCATTGTCGAAGAAGTAATAAATTGACAAAGGAATGACGTCAAAACAAACTATTCCGATTTCCTTAGATTTAAGAAAATAAACTCGTTTCATTGTCGAAGAAGTAATAAATTGACAAAGGAATGACGTCAAAACAAACTATTCCGATTTCCTTAGATTTAAGAAAATAAACTCGTTTCATTGTCGAAGAAGTAATAAATTGACAAAGGAATGACGTCAAAACAAACTATTCCGATTTCCTTAGATTTAAGAAAATAAACTCGTTTCATTGTCGAAGAAGTAATAAATTGACAAAGGAATGACGTCAAAACAAACTATTCCGATTTCCTTAGATTTAAGAAAATAAACTCGTTTCATTGTCGAAGAAGTAATAAATTGACAAAGGAATGACGTCAAAACAAACTATTCCGATTTCCTTAGATTTAAGAAAATAAACTCGTTTCATTGTCGAAGAAGTAATAAATTGACAAAGGAATGACGTCAAAACAAACTATTCCGATTTCCTTAGATTTAAGAAAATAAACTCGTTTCATTGTCGAAGAAGTAATAAATTGACAAAGGAATGACGTCAAAACAAACTATTCCGATTTCCTTAGATTTAAGAAAATAAACTCGTTTCATTGTCGAAGAAGTAATAAATTGACAAAGGAATGACGTCAAAACAAACTATTCCGATTTCCTTAGATTTAAGAAAATAAACTCGTTTCATTGTCGAAGAAGTAATAAATTGACAAAGGAATGACGTCAAAACAAACTATTCCGATTTCCTTAGATTTAAGAAAATAAACTCGTTTCATTGTCGAAGAAGTAATAAATTGACAAAGGAATGACGTCAAAACAAACTATTCCGATTTCCTTAGATTTAAGAAAATAAACTCGTTTCATTGTCGAAGAAGTAATAAATTGACAAAGGAATGACGTCAAAACAAACTATTCCGATTTCCTTAGATTTAAGAAAATAAACTCGTTTCATTGTCGAAGAAGTAATAAATTGACAAAGGAATGACGTCAAAACAAACTATTCCGATTTCCTTAGATTTAAGAAAATAAACTCGTTTCATTGTCGAAGAAGTAATAAATTGACAAAGGAATGACCTCAAAACAAACTATTCCGATTTCCTTAGATTTAAGAAAATAAACTGTTTTATTTTTTATGTAGAACTTGCTTGTAGTATGCAGATGTATCTTTTAAAGAACAAGTTGTACCAGTTCTTGATATTAAACTGCTTATAGTTTGCATGTATATGCATTACATGTTAAATAATAATAACTTATGTTTTTAATATGATTTAAAAGTTATGCTTTATTTACATTAATATGTGATGGGTTAATTTGCTAGTTTGTTGCATATTGGAGTAACAATGGAAGAGAGAATTCCATCTACCATACCAAGCCACCTATAATGAGAAAGTTTTGGCATTTGGGTTTGGCAAGGGCTAGCAAGTAATTTTCAGAAGAACATCTATAATAGATTGTGATATTTCAATCGTGTTAATGTCACATTTTAATAAAGTATCAAAATCTCATATTTTGATAGACTTACTCAGTAGTGTATATGCTACTTTTAAAATGATTTAATTTCTACCATAAGATAGAATAAAAAAATCACAATGATGAAATCAGAGAGAAATTACAAGATATAGCAATAACAAGAAGGTAAAAGTTTGATGATGTTGACAAAATCTGAGAAAATAACATTGTACTCCCTCCAAAGTCACAAGTTTGAAACTTTTTAGGTGCAAACAATTTTTTGGGGTCAGTCTATATATACGAAACTTAGTCTCAACTTTAATTGGTATTAATTGATTAGTTAGTTTAATTAACCGAATACCGAATTATAAAACAAACAAAAAAAAAAGACAAAAAAACGGGAGAATTCTTTCCAAGGCAAAGTTCCATAATAAACTTGACACCAAGAAAGGAAGATTCAAATGAACTTTTGGAACTAAAGTTGAGTATATCATCAACTTTCTATGTAAGCTAGAAATAGTAAAATTTGAACCAAAATCAACTAGCTATATTCATAAATCTAAACTACCTTTCAGAATCAACCTTCCTAACAATTAGATCAATTTTAGCCTATGATTGTTTTATGAGGAAACAAATTAATCCAAAGAATGCAGATCTTACTTTTGGTAATCATAGACAACTTACTATCATTTGAAGAAGGGAAATTCATTCACTCACATTTCAAATAGTGACTTCACCTAGCTTTAGCATACAGCAATAGTGTTCAAAAAACAGCAAATAAATGCATTTATCACACATTTCAAAAGTCATTAATTATAGAGAAAATTTCACTTTGCACCCCCAAATTATCATTTAAAAATCAATTTAATCCCTATTCTTTTAATAATAATAGTTTTACACAAACTATTTAATTTTGAATCAATTTATCTCCGTCGTTAATTGCCAACTATAATCAAACGAAAGTTGATGACGTGATACTGAAACTTCAATTGAAATTTTATTTTATCCCCCAAGCTATTATCAAAATATCAATTAGACCCTTAAATATATTTATAAAAAAAATTAATTTAAATATCTAATAATAATTTTCATCTAAAAAACGAGAAAAATAAATTTTAAATATAAGATTTATAAAAAAATTATTTAAAAAATATTCCTCATTTAAAATTTTTGCTTTTAAGTCACAAATTACCTTGAATCAGCCCTAAAGCCCAAAATTTTGAGCCTACTCTCTCTCTCTCTTTCCTAGCAATTGTAGATAGCTTATCTCTCAGATTAATTTGAACAAAACTGCTCGACTGGTAATACGTTGACAAATCGTGTGGGTAAAAATTTAAACCACACATAATCTGAGATAAATATCTTTCTTCGAGATTTAAAAAACAATATTGAACGACAAAATTATTATTAGATATTTAATTTTCATTTTTTTTTTATATATATTCAAGGATTTAATTGATATTTTGAAGAATAGTTTGGAGGTAAAATAAAATTTCAAATGAAGCTTCGGTGCCACATTAACAACTTCTATTTAATTATAGACAGCAACAGATGATGATGGGAGTAAAATTGACTCAAAATTGAATAGTCTAAGTGTAAAATTGATAATATTAAAAGAATAGGAGTTGAATTGATTTAAACTTGGGGAATTACACTGACATGGTAGTCAAAAAAAATATTTACAAATAAGTGGTAAAGATTATAAATATTAAAAATTAAAATCATAAATCTTATCATCAATATGTAATATTTTTTCAAAACACCCCTTGAATGATAATTTTCCCTTCAAACTATCACTACTCCAACCATTAAGGCTTCACATATATTACAATTTCATATTGCCAGTAGTCAGCCTTACAAAAAGACATATTCATAGTTCCGTTGTAATTGGTCAAACTGCATCATTTGCATGTATTCTTAAAAATAAGGGCATTCACAAAAGTAAATATATAGTAGTAATAAATATCTACCCTGCCCCAAATCAAATCCCCAAGCACACAATACAAAAGAAGAAGAAAATAAAGTAAAGATGCTAAGAAGATAGGCTTCATACATGATGCAGGCATGTTTTCCCTCATCACAGCAGGTATATAAATGGCAGACTTGTTCAAAGTGAGGCACGGGGTTTTGGTTCAGAAGACAACGCTGAGAGGATCCTGGCGAGTGAGGACATGGAACTCACAGCCACATTCAACACTTCTTGTGAACAACCTGGTCTCACAATCTTCTTCACCTGTGCAAGGACATGCACCACCAAGCTTATAGTCAATCCATATTACGATCAAAATGCTAACTATGAAGTCTAGTGATCAAACCACTAAAAATTCAATGTCTAGTATTTCTTGTTTAAGCCTCCTATCCTTTTATTTTTTTATTTTTGGATAAATAGTTTAAGCCTTCTATCCTAATGGACACAAATTCAAGTTGGTCCCTGCCAAGATCTAGGCCACACTCTTTGTGATAGGAAAAATACATTTAGACAACTTGAAGCAACATTAAAAAATATCTTTCTAGTTAGGATGAGTGCCTAACGTCAAAAGACTAAAAATGTGACTAGTTGCATTGAGTTTGTCTAAAAACGAGTTCATTAGAATACCATCAGTTGTTAGGATAACACCATTGTTCCAGAAGTATTTGAAAAAGGGGCGACCCAGTGCACGAGGTTCTGGCTAAAAGAGGAATCGCAAACAAATATTTTGTGAAAAGTAAATAATTAAAAATTAAATATTTTTACTGTGTTCTCAATTCTAATATTTTTTTATGACTTTAGGTGAAGATATTATAGTATGCATACTAATCAACTTGTCCATTCAAAGCCCAAAAAGAGCCCAAGTAAAATCATTTCACTTTCATATGGCCACCAAAAGGCCAAATTAATAAATTTACTCTTTGGGTTCATGATAAAAAATTTGCAACTTGCCTTGTGGCTAAGTTTGATTCTCTTAATTGTTCATCATGATCAAGTGAAACAAGTCCCCCGCATGGAGCAAATCATACATGACTTGGTTTCACAACATTTCTGTAGACAACATTTATGTAGTGGTAAGCTGCTAGAAAGCCACCAGGCCTGATATCCCAAAGAAAACAAAAACTAAAAACAGTTGACTATCCAAACAATGCTAATTGTCATTACTGCATGTATACACACTCACATAAAATTTACATGCGATACAAGCATTGATTGTGACTTTTTCAGTATCTGAGAGATAGTTAAAAATCAAGGAATAGATGAAACATAGTGATGAGAGTTCAAAGACTAACAAAACCTGAGTTCCGCCTGAGAAAGTAGAGGGTTCAATGGATGATGAAGTTGTCATCTTTGAATTATTCAAGTAAGGGGGAGAGAAAGAGAGAGAGAGAACCCAAGGGATGGCAATTCAGCTACAGTGTGCCAGCCCTCACCACACGGGGGTTTGTGTCTAACACCTTGTTTGGATGGACTGATTTTTTTATTTTGTCAATTTAAATTATTTTAAATAGATTGATGAAAAAAAATATTTTAGTTATTAAACTCAACAAAAAAATAATATTTTAATCATTTTATTATATATACCTACATTGAGTTTAATAACTAGGGTGTTATTTTTTCCTCAATTTATTACTTGATTGAAAACAAATTAAAATAAGAAGATTTTTAAAATTAAAAATTAAAAAATTGTTTTGCAACAAGGGTTAATTCTTGGAGTTTTTATATATATATAAATTTCCTCTAATAATATTAGGTGATTCTACTTACACCACTCTTTTACCTCCTTACACCCTTCATATAAGATTGTTTTTTTCTTCCAATTTTATCCATATGTGAAATTACTTAAAGGGACAAAACACTAAAATTAAATGTATTTGATTATTTCCTTACACCCCCTGACCTTTCAACTCCTACTTCTCTTTTTCCTTTCTTAACTTTTCTTTTCTCTTATACGTCTCTTTTGAAAAACTGATAATCATAGTGTTTTGATCATCAAAAAAAGCAATGGATGAAAAAACGGTGGTGAAAAACCATCAAAAAAGTGAAATTGTGAGTTTTATTTTTTAGTTTGGTAGGTTTTTGTTTCGATTTTCTGGATTGGTGTGCGACTTTTGTTCGGTGTTTCGAAATTGAATAAAATAACATAATCCAGCGTCACAGTACCAAAAAAAAAATATAAGTCTAGTTTCAAATTGCCGAATAAAATATAAATTTCCGGTAATATAAAGCCGAATTTTTAAAATTTGTTAAGCTACTCATTGCCACGTATTTTTAGTATTTTTTTTTTCTTGGAAGGATTATACTTATACTCATTGCAACAATGCAAGTACCGCATTATTAGTGGAATCCAATCATGAATTCATTACAGATGAGATTTGTTAAGTTTTTTTATGAATACAATTTTTTCTTATTTCTAATTTGTATTGAGTTTTATTAATAATTTGACACCACATCATTTGGGAGGATGTGGCTCTATAATGTATAGCCACAAAAGGCTAGACAAAACTATTTATTCTGGCGTTATATTACCGAATTTTTGTAAATTGTTTCGCATTGTGTGGCCGAATAGACACTTCAATGTGGACTCTACTGGCTTTGTTGGGCAGCAAACAAAAATTATCCAATTGAACGATAACATAATGCTGGGAAACAAAATTTTATCCAGTAATATGGAACTAGAATAGTTCAAATTGTTTAGCATTTTATTACCGAACAAAAACATTGTTTAGGATAAAGTGGCTTTGGAAATATATAGCAACTAAATGCTGGAGGGATCTATTATTTTCGGTAACTAAACACCAGAATAATTCAAATTGTTTAGTAGTATGACGCTGAACTGGCCCATAACACTTAAAAAAACAATGTTACTTCCAGCAAATGGTATCATATCCCTCCAAAACACTGTAATACCATTACAATGCATTACAAACAATAACAAATTCATATGTTCACCAAAATAAGTTTCCATTGACATAAATATTGAATACAAAATAGATGTGAAACTGTTTAAAATTCTTACAAAAGTACGACAATTCATTACTTGTCCAACCAAGCATCTAGTTTACAAAAGATCCAAGGCATCCACGAAAACTATGCCATTAGGGAAAAGTATATCCCAAATTCTGTACAGCCTAGGCATTTACAAAAACTATGTCATAAAAAAAAAACTAGATCCCAAATTCTGTATGGGCTAGGCTTTCACAAAAACTATGCCATAAAAAAAAAAACTACATCCCAAATGTTATATACGGTTAACACAAAACTATATCCCAAAATGTATACGGGCTAGACATTATGCAAAATTATGTCATCAAACAAAAAGTACATCTCAATCCTCATGTATGGTCTATCCTATGACGTTAACGATAGTAGACTTGATGCTCTGTACGTGTCGAAGTAGATCCCAAACTCTGTCCATCAAGAACTTGCAGCATGCGACCAATGATTTCATACAGCATGTAAGGGTGCAAGACACACTCATCACGACCAAGCCTATGGACTGCAGCACCAATATTGAAAACAGCATCATTACACTACAAAAAATTTGATAAAAATCATACTTAGTGTTTGATTTATGGTGAACCACTTAAAATTGAAAAAAGTTAATTCACAATTTGCTTACCCACTCAGGATCCATAGTAACATCATTATCGAGACGTTGAACACATGGATCAAACTGAGAGTGATGTGTAGGATTTTGAACAACCCGATGCGAAACACAAGCATACCAATCACGGTATCCTCATACACATTCAGATGGTCGCTGCTGTACAGGCACACTACGAGCATTAATGGACAACACATGATTCTCCCACTGCGCCCATATCGTGTCATGGTATTGATACATGATTCTGTATTGTCCTGGTTTACTGCCCCGTATAGCTCGAACATGAGATAATGGTTCTAGTGGGATGGTTAGGACCCTACCAAACTGCCGCAAAACCCTATTGGGGTGATAGGGTTCAACAATATCAAAGCATTTCAAACATCTAGTATAATATGCAACCTCATGAAGTGGATGGTGTGTCCTACATAAACGGTATGGATCCCACTCGATCTACAAATAAGGAATGCATAATGTTAGTTAGGAAATCTTTAAAATTTTTTTTTTTTTTTTTTTTTTTTTTTAACAATATCACACTATTATAAAATGTCTAACCTCATTAGCATGTAACATGTCAAGTTGCTCTCATAATGTCTGCAAGTGGTCTTCTGTAAAACCTCCATCTCTCCGCAAACTCCGACGACATACACGAGGTTGTTCGTCAGAATAGGACAAATTTGAATGAGGCCTTCCTAAACGAAAATGCTCATAAATCCATACTTCCAATAGCTTCAAGTAACTAATAATCTGCTTAACACCAGCCCTACTAGCAAGTCCTAATTATCTATACAGGAATGCCAAAGCTGCAGCACCCCATACATATGAGCTAACAGCATCAATGTTAGTCAACATGTGCAGGTAAGCAACGGGTACTCGAGTCCCACTCTTGTCAGCGAAGAGGGTACAACCTAATAAATATAGCAAGTAAGCTCTCGCTGCATATTCTATGAAATTTGCATCATCTGTATCGTTAACTTCATGAAATATAATTCGCAACCACTCTAGCTTCACGGATTGCCCACGAGATTGAACTAATTCTGCAAATGCATCATTCACTGGCACTCCCAAAGTAGTATTCATCAGTTCAGCAGCCTCGTATCTTGTTAACTTAGGACATGACAAAGCCATGCCAGTGACTGGAATGCCAAGTATGGTTCGCACATCATCCAATGTGACAGTCATCTCACCATCTGGCATGTGAAATGTATTTATCTCTGGATGCCACCTTTCAACGAAGGCAGATATTGCCACTCTATTGTCATGCCGATATGTGTGATCAATAAGGACACTAAGACCAGAATGCTCAACCAAATGTCTCCACCTAACATTTTGGACTGTTGGTGACATCCATGGCCACTCGACAAGCTTTCGAAAATGATTCAAACATTTAAGAGGTCCTCATTCCTGCATTTTACATAAAACATATAAATAATTTGAAGCATATAGTACATATGATTAGTTTATTGTTAAGAAATTCTCAAAATACCTTTTTCTTCCAAACAGCGGCAGCAACATGGTTACAAAAGCTAATTAGCAATGAAGGATCCTCTGGAGCACCCGGAACTGGTTCTGTGTTGTCATCATCCACACCAACATCGTCCTCCATGAGGCCAGCCTCTACAACAATATCATTATCGACATCGTCATCCTCCACACCAATATCATCGCCAACATAATCATTATTCACATCCACATGGTCATCCTCCTCCACAGGGACATTCACTTCCACTGGTTCAGGTTCTGTTTGCCTAGCACGTCTTCTGTTGGATGCCATTGATCTCTTACGTGAGACACCACTAACCATTTCTGTGTAAAAAAAAAACATTAAACCCAATATCAGTAAAAACTCGAATATATTAAATGACTGATGTAAACAATATCAGCAAAGAAACCATAATTTCATAGATAACATTCAATTTAAAGAAAAAAAATTTAATGTGCAAATGTATAGAAAAGGGAAAAAATTCAAATAATAATGCAAGTATGCATTTGATAATTTTAATGCGCCTACATTGTTCTATTTCAAGTTTCTTGTTTGTCTTGTTTATTTTTAATTTTTAAATGTTAACATTGTATTGTATCTTAGAGCTCACAATCTAATCTTCTTAGGATAACTTGCCTTTGGATGTTACAGCTCATAAGAAAATTGACGTTCACAAATAGGTGTTGGTGAATATTCTGGTGATTTTGAAGGAGCCAAGTGATATTCCAGTTTGATGACATTGACCTACTTTCAAAATGGATTGATAGTAAAAACATGAAACTGCACTTCTTTACAAGGAAAAGACCATATTTTGTCTGTTCTTACTGTTGGACATGTTTTTTGCTGAAATACTATGGTTGTTGAAAAAATGAAGATGAAAATTAGTGCCAGAGGAGGCCATAAATCGTTTGTGATTACAGCATCAGTAAGTCTAATTAACCTTGCTGACTATTACTACCAGTCATCTCTAATTCTCTTTTGTTATGTTATGTGAAGAAGAACCCAAAAAATAACCCAAGCTAGTGCTAAATTTTATAAATTTTGTTGACCTACATCACTTTGGGTTTTTTTTTTTTATTTTGTTCTAGATTTGTGGGTTTGAGGATTAAATTGTGGAAAATAATGAGACAATGAGAGGACGAGTAGTGGCTGGAAAATGGAGAAGGTTGAAATGGAGGCAATGATTTGATGTAGTTATGGCTCTGGTTGTGATTGGTTAAGAGGGTCATAGAATATGGTGGTTAGGTTAACAAGAAAAGTTGTTAATGATTTGGGGTAGAAATAGCGTAGGAATAACCATGACTTTGGACACTAAAGAAAAGTGATTGAACATAGAAGTTTTTGAAAGGTTTAAAGAGGTTTGACTTCAGAAAGATATTGTAGAGAA